TTAGGTATATGCTTTGATCTAATTTTTTTATTGTTTTTTATTTCCGGCTTTGATAACCATTTTATTAATTTATCTATTGTTAAAATTGATTTCTTTTTTTGTTCTTCTTGAGTATTAGAACTTGATCCTGCTTCTGTATTTGGAATATCATCAGTTAAAGGGTCGACTGCCAGCACACTTGCCTCTCTTGGCTGAAGTGTTGGTGGGTTTTCATAGAACGATATGAGATCACCTTCAGGAGTTGGAGTTGGGTTTTCAGAAGGGTTTTGAATAGGTGGATTTTTAGGTCGACAGGAATTTGTTCGGTTTAAATGTTGTTGATACTTCTGATATGTAGAAAGTTTTGAACCATATCTATTGCAAATAGTATTTTTAACTATTGTGTATAAAAAGTATTATATATTACTTTATAAAAAGCTTTACTTTAATTAATTATTTATCCTAATCAAATATAATCGGTGAATATACATGTCAATATATACATAATTCTGGTAAGATTTGTAGTGCTTTGTATACATGTCCTGAGGGGTGTCGTCTTCATTATAAGTCAAAAAAACGTGTTTCTTGTACTGATTGTGGAAAACCAACTGCTTCTGCTTGCGGACAATACAAAATTCATATGAGAGGATATTATGTTACATCCTATTATCAAAGACTTCATGAAAAAGCATATAGTATAGAAAACAGCCATTCTATAATTACTTTTGACAATGCAAATGTATAGCTATTCATTAATTTCCTTTATCAAAAGTTTGGTTAAATTTTTTATTGCAGAGCATATCGTATTGTTCTAAAAATTTATCTATCCTTTTTACTATCTTTTTTATCATTAGAAAACTTAAATAACACTACTGCTCTGCTTTACTTCACAGTAATAAAAAGCTAATTGTTAACTAAATAGATAACTATGCTCCGCTACGCTTCGCATCCGGAGTCGCTATACTTCTCCGAGACAGAAAACTTTTTAGTAATCAGATAGACTAAATTTATCCAAAAAATTGCCGAGTTGTATTTAAAAAGAAACTAATGTTTATAGTAACAGAATGCTAAATATAAACTAAATAGATAACTATGCTCCGCTATGCTTCGTATCTGGAGTCGCTATGCTCCTCCGTGACAGAAAGCAATTTAGCAATCAAATATGATAACTATGCTCCCTATGTCAGAAAGCAATTTAGTAATCAAATATGATAACTATGCTCCGCTACGCTTCGCATCTGGAGTTGCTATGCTCCTCTGTGACAGAAAGCAATTTAGTAATCAAATAAGAGGGCATATATTTTGGTTAAATTGGTGTATTTTGGTTAAAAAAATCGTTTTATATATCCTTATAAGAAAGTTATCGAGAATATGATAAAAGTTTAAAATCTATAGAAATAGACTAAATTTAACCAAAAATACACTAAGCATGTACCTAAAAAGCCCACTATTCTACTACTAATGACACAAGTGTATCTATGGTTTCCAGCGCACACGAGGCATTGGTATGCCCCAGTTTACAGATATAAAACCCAGCCCAATTTAAAATATGTTATTACCATAATACAAATAAATTATTCAAAATGTCACTAGTAGGATTCGAACTTAGTACTATAGCCAACAAACTTGAGGGTATAACAACTCCACTACTACACTATATTATCATCCTCTATTTTATAAATAATTAAATAAGTTATAATAAATAAATTAGTTATCATCTTCTCCAAGTGGCAGATCTAAAGTTTAAATCTCATCGATGATAATAGGCCCACATTATGATTAACAGTTATGATTATTAGTTGGATCTAGAACTAAATTTGTAACTTCAATCACACCATCTAGTAATAAAAGCTTTGGCACAATAAATCTAAGAAACC